GCCTACACAGCAAGAATACAGGAGGTACTGCATTACTGCAGTCTAGTCAGCCATCAACCACTATTTTAAACTTGTGCCTTCTGAAAACTGAGTGTCCGTGGCTGTGGTCATCCGCAGCAGCCATAGAAAGTGACTTAGATCCATAAACAGGGATAATTAAAATTAAGTCAAATTTCCCAAGATGCACATGGGAAACTACTTGTCATCTTCAAGACCATCTTTAGATGCCCAGATGTGTAATTATGCTTAAAGCTACTGAGAAAACTGACTCAATCCCTCCTTCAAGAAATTTTCAGTTCACCTGGTGTATAATAAATTTAGTTCAGAGATAGTTCAGGCTCTGCTAGAGGATACACTTCTAGAACTATGCAATTTTTAAAACACAACCTCTGGTGTGATTTTCACATTCAAGATTATAATGTGAATGACCAAAAGTAAACTATATTTTTCATAATAAAAAGAAGCTATTACTTGAACAATAATGGTTTGCACCATAGCATTGCTTACACCCTTAAACAGTCAAGACTAAAAGAATACTACAATTTCCAGCAGAATTTCCATTAACAGTGACCCCTGTAGGATCCAAAATATCATCTAGCATATCTGGTTTCAGCCTTTAGTATACTAGGGTACATTGGTACATTAGTCTGTTTTCTGCAAAGCTATCCATGCAAATTCATCTATTTGTTGCACTCAGTCTAAGCCTACTTGCAAGTAAGATCGTGGGTGACTCAGCTTGAGGTGAACCATCACTACAGACCATCTGCTACAGCACATTCGCTCTGCTCAAAGGCCTAATTGTACTTACACTCAGAAGTCTTAGCTGGATGAGGTAATTCAGTGAGACTCTGTTAAAGGCTAAGGTCTTTCACAAAACCCATTTTTGGCTGAAATTGTAATAGGGCTACAGTACACTGCTACAAAGGCCTCAGAAGGCAGCAAGCTAGTGTCAGGATGAGTCACTATAGAATAATGCTGTAAAAGCCCCGTGTAGCTCGAAAAAAAATCCAAACACACTGGGCATGGAGATTAAATATCTATTCTGCACCAATGAAAGATGCAGATCTTGGTGTAAAATAAGCTTTGAATGCAATGAAACCATTAACTCATCAAGTCCAACAAGCTACAGTACAGAATAATTCTGGGGTGTTCGATACTTATTCTTGCTTGTCATGACATACTAAAATACACCACAGATATTCACTGATGAGTACAATAGTTTGCAGGTCTGCAGGCAGTACAATTCAGAGTAGTCATCTACCAAAGCTGCACTTCCACTGATTCTTTTATGCTGAATCCCATTTGGAATTAGACAAGGATAAATTCTTCCCCCTCCAATAATTGTTTATTTCTATGTATAATAAGCCCCATAATTTCTGATAAAGACTTTGTAATATACTAAGTTGTTTGCCATAGTGATTTGCATAAAAAGAAGTATAATTTTTTATAGAGTTCTGTCATGGTTTAAGCCCAGCCGGCAACTTGGAACCATGCAGCCGCTCGCTCACTCCCCGCCTCTTCCTTCCGCCCCCGGCGCTCGGAGGGATGGGAAGGAGAATCGGAGGAATGTACCTCCCACGGGTTGAGATAACAGCTCTCCAGTAACTAAGGAATAATACAAACCACTACTGCTACCAGTAATAATGATAAGAGGAATAACAAGGGGAGAGGATGCAATTGCTCACCACCCGCCGACCGATACCCAGCCCGATCCAAGCAGCGATCTGGGCCTTCCGGGTAACTCCCCCAGTTTCTATACTGGGCATGACGTGCTGTGGTATGGAATAGCCCTTTGGCCAGTTTGGGTCAGGTATCCTGTCTCTGCTTCCTCCCAGCTTCCCCTCCTCCCTGGCAGAGCATGAGACTGAGAAAGTCCTTGGTCAGAGTAAACATTACTGAGCAACAACTAAAAACATCGGTGTTATCAGCGTTGTTCCCAGGCTGAAAGTCAAAAACACAGCACTGCACCAGCTACTAAGAAGGAGAAAAAATGACTGCTGTAGCTGAACCCAGGACAAGTTCTTTATCAAAATAACTCGACTGAGTATCATTAACATCATTAATGCTAAACAGCTAGGAAAAATCTCTTGGCATTAAGGAATGAGGTATAGAACCAGGATAGGTACTAACAGCTTTGGTTTTGCTGCCTTGTTTTCAGAGATTTTTATCTTGGCATATGCAACATATTGGAGCTCAGTCAAGGACTGGGTTTTTTCCTCACAATCCATTCCACCTCCTGCTTGTAGGTGACTGGAATGCTATCATCCAAATTGGTCTGCAATTCATCATCTCTACTGAATTTACAGCACAGATAATTTTGCTGTAAAGTCAATGTGATACACACCTAAATGTGGATAAAAATATGAATAGTAATTAGCACACATCTATGGGTTTGTATTCTTTATCATCAAGTAGCCTGCAAACTCATGTTAAGCAAATTTTAATCAGGTAAAGACAACTAATGATTTGCTTTTGAAAGATTTCAAGAAAGCAAGAGAACAAAAATGGTGTTTTAATTCAAGCAGCTTGCTCACAAAAACAAATGTACAAATATCAACATCAAAAGCTTACTTGCTTTCTATCAATATATGAACTAGCGAAATAATTCGTCAGTTTTTCCAAAATTTCACAAGGTGAAATTATTTTAGCATTATTCTTTTTTTCTTTCTGCCTTTTTTTTTTTTAAGCACAACAATGTACAGCCTATAGAGAATTCTATGCATTTGAAATGTTTCTCTGTGTGGATATTTTACTTGCAAAAACATTTAAGGAATGACTCCATAAACCAGATAATACAATCACATCATCCTATTTATTATAATCACAACATTCTATTAAAAGGTTAAATTCAGATACCATTCCCCAAGCTGATTTTGCCAATGTAGCCATCCTTGCATAGACACAGTCAGTAATTCTGCATTGAAAAGTGACTGCTCTACATTGAAAAGTGACTGCTCTTTGAACTAGTTTTTCACTTGCTGCTTTTAGAAGCAACACTATGAAATAAAAATAAACAAAAATACTTCTCTCGCTTTTATAACAACATAATGAAAATGTTGGCCCGTAAAACCTTATTACTACAGACAATTTATAGGTATTCTTAATTTTTACCAGCTGTGTAAAGTACTCTTACAGGTCTAAGTGCTTGCAGGAACGTGACTTAACTGTGATAGATCTACCCATTTTGCACACAAACAAACAATTTCACATTTCCAGGTTTTATGGGACATAGTCCTGGACAGATGGCTGGGTACAATACATTATTTTTGCATAGACACACATATAAAGATGTATCTACACACATATATATAGATAGATAGATAGATAGATATGAGCATATAGAAATATATATGCATTTTTTAACTGAAGAGCATTTCCTCTTGATTTGATCATTTTCATATGGATGCTTTTGTGGCTAATAACAGTATTATAAGCTATTATGTAAATTTTCATTATTATCATCATGATCCTTACACAATAATATTCCCATGTTTCCTAGTAATAAATAGTTTTGAGTTCCAGCTGAGATTTATTCACTACATACACACTCCTAGCACATTACAGGAAACCTGCTACTCTCAACATGAAGTTTTGAAGAGTTCAGATCCATCCAGGATAGAGACAGGAAAGTAGATTAATTGAACTAAAATGGCAGTTTTGCTGTTCCAGTGGGTTTTTTAGTCATATGTAGAAAGAATTACTGCCTGGGTATTTGAGTGCGAAAATCTGCACTGGAAAAGAAACCCTGAACCCTCCTATGCTTTTTCTTTTCCCCTGCAGTTGATAGAGTTAATGCCTCAGTTCAGAAGTTGTATACAGTGACTACTGTATATATATTCTAACACAACCTTAAAACTATGATGTCTACTCCAGCAAAAAAAAAAAATTCCAAATAATGTCTCCTGCTATACAAATAACCATAGTCTGTCTAATTTGAAATCCGTAGCACACAAGGTAAGGCAGAGAATAGTAATTAATATGGATCATTCAATAGGATGCCATGCTGTACTAACTTAAGGGAAATAAAATTCTACTCTTCAGAGACTAGTTTTTGCACAAGTAGTTTATAAAATCATGAAGACATCTTGTTAATTTGTAAAAATCTTTCCTTCTTTGTGCCAGAATTATTCATTAGCAAAAACATTCCAAAGTTTTAAAATTAAAGTATAAAATTCTTCTTGCTGTTCTCTACAGGACAAACTTCTATAAATATTTACTATGTAAGGATTACCTTTTCCATTACAAAAATTGCAACTGTTACCAGAGTATGAAAAAAGTAGGCTTAACAACGGCATCTGTTTCAGAGGAACTCCATACTCATTGGTAGCACAAAAAGAGATATATCCACATATATAAATGTAGACAATGATATAAAAGTATGTAAATAAGTGAATAAATATATTATTATAGTTAATAAATGGGAAGATTTTTGTGCATATGATGATTCTGACTTGAATTACCTATAATGTTTACAGCTGTCTTGCAGATCACCACAGACATCTCAGTCTTAGCTTCTTGGGCACAGGTAACCAGTTACAAAAGCAGATCATAAATGTTTCAATAAATTTCTACAGCTCCAATTCAGAATCAGTTGTAGAGTACAGTGATGGTTTTCCTTTTTTGCTGCTGCTGTGGGAATTCTTATCTTCATGCACTGGTCTATACGCTAAATTCATAACTTGCTAAACAGGCTAAACCAAGATCTCAAATGCACAAACTCTGAAATAAAAATATTGCCACTTCAGAAAATTTACTTCTGGTAGTAATTAAGTATTCCCTTCACTTAATTTACAGGACAAAAACATCCCTGTGTAAGCCCACTCCAATTTGAGAGAAACATCAAAAATTCGTATAATCAAAGCATTCCAGCAATGTCTCCTCTAGAACAGATGACTGTGAATTCCCCACGGCACTCAGTTAGAAGGATTTTCCATTTGAGCATTCCCTGACATAAGGTAGAGTGGAAACGTTAAAAATATGAAATGTACTTTTACTCTTACCAGAAAAGACACTGGGAATCTTGGAAAGAAAACTTTTGACTGTACGAATAGGAATCCCATTTTTCTCATCTTGCATGCGGGCTATGACGTCTTCCATCTGAACATAGGTAAAGGAAAGAAAGAATAAAGAAATCCAGAATTATTTCCTAAAATAAATCCTCCAAGAAATCCTAGCTTAATCTCTCAGACTGACAAGTCCACTCTATTTCTTTTTAAACTTATAGTTAATATTTTATATTTTTATTGAACAGGCTAAAAAAAAAATACAAGTAATTTATTCTTGGACAACATTAAAAAATTGTATGTGCTCAAAGTCTCTTGAGGAAGAAATACCAACTGAGAACACAGATATTTAGTTAAAGTAGTTAAAAGAAGTAGTTAAAAAACTTTGCTGGATATAAAATATGTGTTGCTTGTCTTACTGGTATTGTACCACATATAAAAGCAAAATAGACTCATGCAGCCTTCCAGGGGATTGATACAGTTCTCAAAAAGCCTGTTCAAAATAAAAATAGAGCTTTTAAGTTCAAACCACACATTCATTTTTTTCGTTTGAGAAGAGGAAAAATAATACATGATGCAATTTTTCATCCCTGGAGACAGCAGAGCTAGAAACGTAAGACTTTTTGTAAGTAAAAGAGTGGGTATAAAAATGCTTAAAATCACTATGCTGTATTTTTTTAATATTTTTATATTAGTTCATTTTTCCCAACTTAATTCTTTACGCTAATTTTGCCTGTGTATTTTGAAAATTATACCTAACCCAAAGGTTCACTTTCATGCAAACTATGAACAGCAAGCCCTTTTACTGGAAAACAGAAAGAATATTCATCGGCTGACAATGCTATTTTTTATTCTTGCACATTTCATAATTGAACTTCAAACATTAGATAACTTCCATTTTCTTTTTTTGAATATCTAACTCCTCAAAATATTCAATGATATCATGATAAAATGAATTACAACTATCCTTCCTTTTTCCTTAAATCATCAATATACTCCATATGAAAAACTCTGTGTGACAGAGCATCTTATTATTTCATCAGTCAAATCACCTCTGTCCCCCAATAGGTTCCCAAAGAATTTGTGGCTAGGTTGTGTTGAGAAAAGAGGCTAACAGACAAAATTCTGTTATACACTTTTTTCCACAGAAGTCAGATGACCCAAATTAGCAAACAGCAAATCAGCATTACTTGCAGCTGTGCATTAATTGGCCCAATGGAAAGTTGTATAGAGCCAGGAAAGGGAAAGGAAGCAGGGGTCAACAGCGGTGTATGTAGGGGCAAAAATGTATGTCAAAAATGAAACCAAAATCAATTAGTCTGACTGCTCATGAAAAACATGTTTATACAGAGAGTATCTGGAGGTTTGCATGCTGCATGTACTTATGGATCATACATTAACAACCCAAGGAACAAAAATCCAGTGGCATAGTACAAAATACAAAGTACACACAAGATGTTATTATACATTATATTGTTAGCAAGATGTGGAAAACCAAGTCTGTTGCTCAGAATCAAGGAATGTACAAATGTCACTGTCCTGGGTTCAGCTACAGCAGTCATTTTTTCTCCTTCTTAGTAGCTGGTGCAGTGCTGTGTTTTTGACTTTCAGTCTGGGAACAACACTGATAACACCGATGTTTTTAGTTGTTGCTAAGTAATGTTTACTCTGACCAAGGACTTTCTCAGTCTCATGCTCTGCCAGGGAGGAGGGGAAGACGGGAGGAAGCAAAGACAGGACAACTGACCCAAACTGGCCAAAGGGTTATTCCATACCACAGCACATCATGCCCAGTATAGAAACTGGGGGGAGTTACCCGGAAGGCCCAGATCGCTGCTCGGGTCAGGCTGGGTATCGGTCGGCGGGTGGTGAGCAATTGCATCCTCTCCCCTTGTTATTCCTCTTATCATTATTGGTGGTAGCAGTAGTGGTTTGTATTATACCTTAGTTACTGGAGTGCTGTTATCTCAACCTGTAGGAGTTGCATTCCTCCAATTCTCCTTCCCATCCCTCCGGGAGCAGAGGGAGGAAGAATGGGGGGGAGTGAGCGAGAGGCTGCGTTGTTCCAAGATGCCAGCTAGGCTTAAACCATGACAGTCACAAAAGAAAAGAACCAATGTTCATTGTAATGAGTTTCATCTGATATGGAATTTAATTATTTAAATAGAAAAGGCTATTAATAATATTCTGAAGAAACTATCAAGTAGACAAACTGTTGTCTATGAAATGGAATCTGTCCCTACATTTATTATCCATATAATAAATGGAGGCTTGTTCCAACCCCTTCTAAATTCGGTTGGTAAACTGTCTTACTGATCCTTTAAACGAAGAAGTCACTTGAATTCAGGTGAATATCTTTGCTTTAAACAAATAAATTATAACCATAGATGCATGGTCTTCTACGGAAATGAACAGAAGAAAATTTGATGATAAATTCCATGCATGCAGTGTAAACTTATGAGAATATTGCTAGAACTGCAGAGTGCATAACAATGTGTGTTACACTGTGACAAAATTTGGAAGGCAATTCATACGTAAGTCAGTGTGATAAAGATATTTTTGCATTATAATAAGGACTACTAGAAATGTAGGACACAATCCTGGAACATGACATTGCAGGCAATGATATGCAGTTACCTCTTCCTCAGGACCACACAAGAGTGCAAACGTTTAATGCCTAGCATTCCTAGTGCTGTTAGTAATCAATCCTTCAAGCGTATATGGAATAAATTGTTAACTGACATTCACATATGCATTCCTAAACTTGCTTCATGGACAAGATTTAATCTAAACTGTATAAAACCTAACTCTGATTGAAGTTGTAGCTTTAAGGGAGTTCTCTGGCTTTGTTTAGCAAAGCAAGCTCTAGGATATCTGCACTTCAAAATTATACCTTCCCTTGCCTGTTTAGCTCAGATTATTGTTCCATGTCAGAAGCAAATACCCCCTGTGCTAAAGGCAGCTCCCACTCCAGACAGCTTCATTGTGAACTGCCTGGTTAATTCAGTGTACAAAGATTACTGCATAAGTGAGTGGCAATGTTCTGAAACAAGATACAAAACACAACAGCAGACTCCTGATAAGATACCGTTGCCCTGGGATTTTGTATGTTATCTGCTAGAGTACAAAATTCTTTGTCTTGTCCCTTTTTAAGCACAAATCTAAAAGGTCACTTGTGTTTTGTGGTTATCTTAAACATAAGAACTCAATAAAATGAAGGGCAAATTAAAAAAAACCAAACCAACAATCAAACACATCAATTAAAGATTCAAAACCATCTAACTCAACATATGCAGGTACCCAGTTTAACTTTCAATATATATGTAGTCCCTGTCTCTGTTTTAGCTGCTTTAAATTCAGCAAATGTATCATCTCATCCACTGAAAAACATCTCAATTATATTTGGGAAGCAGCACTCCAGGCACTTGTCTGTCATTCATCAACAATGACCTAAGACAATGAAAAGGGCAGAATAGTTTGATTAGAATAATGAAAGAAAATCTTAATCTAATTTTGCTCAAGAATTCTAATCTGGGAAACACGAGCTGCTGTCTGATATAATAATTTTCCTTTCTGATGTATCACTGTTTGCTTCTGAGTCACCTGACCTGATGTGAAACGTGAAATATAAACTCCTCCACTTCACCTCAGAATTAGGCTTTCACAGTTCTGTTTTTATGGGCTTATCTGCCTAAACTTGACTGGCTTAGGTCACACAATGGGATCTTTTTTAGCCCTAAGCCTTCTCAAAGAACTTGGAGAAAACAAATCCACAAACAGCTGCCTCCTGGTCATTCTTCAAATGAAGCTCAATGTGCTTGAGAAAAGGAACTTGCAGAAACACATCTTTTAGATTTTCAGTTATCATTACGCACAATTAACAGGGAAAGGGTAGCTAGAAGGAAGTTCACAATGCAGCACAGATTCTACCAGAGCATTTCTAAATAAATATACTTTAAAAAATGTGCCATTTGTTTACCAGTGAGGCAATTCTAAGTGGGACAAAAACTCACTAATTTTCTGATGCATAGGCACCTCAGACCGAACTTATAATATCAGTATTTAAAACTTCACTCATCTCCTTGTGAAAGATAATTTGCAGTCTTCATCTTGACATGTAAGGACTCTGTGAAATCTATTTCAAAGACTGACTCTGACAACAGTGACAACTCATCTTATATGAAGCAAAAAGAAAGATAGCAATATCCTGTAATAGAAAGGTTACAGGATATGAGAGCCACTGAATAACGACCACTGACTCTGCTCGAAACATGCTGGGAACTAGGCATGGAGACATGTGTAACTTACCTCAGAGGCAGAACCCATGGAGAACTAACAAGCCCACAAAGTCAGTAGTATCTGGCCTTGGGGAAGAGAAATTAACGTTATCAAATGGGAAGTGAAGGTGATGGTTCTCAGTCCTGTGTATTGCTGAAAGTCCACTGAAAGACTAGGCTTATTAGGCTTTTCTTCTTTGATGTGACCAAAGAGTTTCTGCCATATAAGATACAATTAACCCCTTCTATCTTTAATCATCAATCACTACCTAAAGGTATCTGTCTTTCTCCATTACTGACAGTGGAAGTCTTAACAAGAAACCAGGACTAGCATCCTTTAGCTATTTACAGCTCCATGAAATGAATACAACCCCTAGAAGCAGAATTTTTATGGTTCCTTAGATTTCGCTCCATGTGGTTTGGGAAGACTCCAATCTTTCAATTTCTAAATCTAAATATGAATTTCATTGCTAATCATCCACACATCTTGCAAAAATTATCCCCTTGCACCATAATTCAGCATCATTGATTCTTAAGAAGTAGGGTTTTTAATTAATTCAAAGATGACAAAAGTCAAAAGCTCAAAAAGTTTGCCAGTGCAGTACAAGAGTATTTTCTTCCCTTAAAAGCAAGGGTAAATGAACTCCACATAAAGATGGTCACTAGATACAAGGATTCCAAGACTAAAAATAAAAAAACAGTGGTCTAGAACTAACTAAAGTTCAAGAGATGCGTTTTAATGCTTGAAGCCTTGACCTACCTACACATTCACAGGTATCTCAATTCCATTTATATTACTAAAACAAATTTCAGTGCC